TTTTCATTGCTCTTTTGCCTGCTTCCTGACTGGGTAATCTGCCTGATACTTTCTATGAAAACAGTTTTGTCTGTGTTGTGCTTTTAACTCCGTCGCCCCTCCCTCGTATTCTCATGTGATAACTGTTTTTAATTTGTTTTAGGAGGTTAAATCAGCTCTGATTATTATATTTGGATGAGAATCAGAAAACCTTAATCATTCATGTTCTTCCTATCCTTCCTTGAACCCTTCAGACTTTTCTTTATTCTCAGATGATGACGTCTACAGATATCTCTAAGAATACTCACAAACCAGTCCTTATTGAAACAAATGTCCATAACACCTTCTCTTTGTTTTTCTATCCTGAAAAAATAGTTTTGATGTAATCTTACAATGAGCCAAGTAGTAATGATTAGTCTGTATAATTCATTACCATTTCTCACATACTACTTCCTCATACTCTGGGTGGTAGCTATCCTAATAATCTACTAAAACTGTTCAGTCACTATCATTATTTATCACATTGCTACCAATGATTAGTCTGTATAACTCATTACCATTTTTCACATACTACCTCCTTGTTTTCTGGGTGGCATCTGTCCGAACCGTCTACTAAAACTGTGCTATCACTATCATTATTTACCATATTGCTACCATGATCAAGGACCCTTTTCTCAGACTTTCTACTTGACTTTTGAGTTTTGATTTCTTGGTTGTAACTGACTTATATGATATTATATAGAAATGCCTGGATTAAGATTCTTTAGCAAGGGAGCTGGAGAGATGACTCAGTGCTTAAGAGCACTGGCTGCTCTTCCAGAAGACCTGAATTCAATTCTTAGCAATCACATGGTGGTTCATAACCATTTATAGTGGGATCTGATGCGCTCTTCTGACATAAAGTTGTACACATTCATAAAATAAATAAATAAATAAATCTTTTAAAAGAGGGGGCCAGGTGGTGGTGGTATATGCCTTTAATCCCAATACTGAGGAGGCAGAAGTAGGGCTGATCTCTGCCAGTTCAAGGCCAGCCTGGTCTACAGAGTGAGTTCCAGGACAGGCCCAAAAGCTACACTGAGAAACGTCTCAAAAAACCAAAAAAGATTCTTTAACAACAAGACGCAAGAAAATAAGTTCTCAAGGGTGGGGGTGTTTGTCTGACTTGTTAACTGGCATAGTGCTACTGCCTAACTTGGTGGCAGACACAATAAAATACTGGATACACAAATGGATTTCAGAAATGAAGCTAGTGCTTAGTGCCCCTTCCTTCTACTCATTATTTCCAGACAACCTCATTCAAAGCCACATCTCAGGAGTCTCCCAGATTTGTACCTGTCACTCAAAACTCCTTCTAACCTGTTATTCCAACGTTTCAAACATTACTAGATGTCCCACTAATAACAACAATAACAACAATAACAAAAATGGAATGGCCCAAGTCAACCTTTCCATGTTTCTTTTACTTTAAAACTGCCTGTCATGGTTTTTGTACCACTTTGTACAATTTTCCCTAAACATCAAGATAGAAACTTTAGTCATTATTGAATTTTCTTTTTCCATCATCCAATATGACCGCCACTTTACAATATTGATCACACGTGCTCCTAACTCACCATCACCAAATTATTGTGTCTGTTGGCTCATCTCTCCATAGTACAAGTGTCCAACAGCTTTTCCATTCTCTAGCCCAGACTCCAGTACTTCTTACATCCCTGTACCATGAACCTTGACCAGTAAGACAGACTTTCTCTGAATCATCTGTTTTAGATCCCAAATATCCTTGTCCCATTAGTCATGGCTTAGAATCCTAACCATCAAGTGAGGTACTTTTCAAATATAATATTCACTCAGAAGCCTGCTTTGATCTCCCAGGCTAGAAATCATGTGTAATTTTCATGCCTATACCATCAAGTATGACATACATCACAGTATCTTAGCACAGGACCTGACATACACAAGCAGTCAAGTGTGAACCATTCTACTACTTGAAAATTTATCTTCCAAACCCAGTATAAACTCCCTGATGGCAAGAACCTCCAAGAGGCTTCCAAAAAGGCACTGTGCCAAGCTCAAGATAGCTGCAACTCAATAGAAGTTTGATATCCAAAACATTAGCCAACTTACTATCTAATTCATCAGAAAATCAGCTAGCACAAATGTTATGATTGGTTCCAGTAGAAAGAAAATGTAAATTACTTAATAATTTAATGAAAATAAATATAGGCCATGTTATAATTTACAAATAAATTACAAAATTATTTACAGATAATTTTTACATTGTGATTCAAAACTCCTCTTCTAGAAATAGTGCTAGATGATGACTGATAAGTGAAGAAAATGATACTTTTTGTTGCTCTTTCACTTATTTTGGAAATTACTTTGCTTGAAAGGAATTACAAAGCTAATGGTGTTTATACAACTTCATAGCACATTACTCAAAAGATTTCAACTTTCAGAGCAACCACTAAGGGTACGCTTACATCAGAATCTGAGGTCTTGGATATCACTGGACTTCATTTGAAAACCTTACTTGGCATCCTACTCTGTGTCAGTGTTAAAATGAACATACCACTATACCTTATTTGGGTGATTTAAAAAGAGAATACAAAAAGAAAATGATTCTTACCTATCCAAAAAGATATTATAAGTCTCACAGAGGGTAGTTTAGGTAAATACACTATGTAGATAAAATCTATTGTCATTAGCTTATTCATTCAACAAATGCCTACATCTATGTACAAGCTTTGTGCCCACCTCTTTTTATACAATATCAAGTAAGATGGGCTGTCTACCCTTGGTAGCTTAGGAAGAGCTGAGGGGTGAGGCAGGCATGTGAATGAAGCAGTTGGTGGGCATTGGCTGAAGGACTACGGAGCCATGGGCAGCGGTGAGGAGGGAGCTCCCCAGGAGCCCTGGGCAAAGTGGCTGTACACCAGCACCATGCTCACCCTCTGCAAATTCACCACTAATTACTACTGATACCTCTTTCTCCCACCCTGCAGTAAGGTATATATACATATGTATTTCTTTAAGACCCATTGTCTTTTGAATCTATAATTCTAAGCTCTAAAAAGGTCTTGAAATCTGCACTTACTTTTCTAACTTAGTTTTCGCTAAACCTGAGCTGAACTGATGTGAAGTTCCCTGATCACCAATATTTTTCCTACTTAAGAAACCCTGGTGAATGATTTCATCACCCACCCATCAGCTAAGCCAGGAACTGAGTCATTGTTGGCTCTTCTTCCTCTTCCAAAGCCAACTGATGACCAAGCCCTGCCAATTCCCTCAATCACTGTTCTAGCCACTCTCTACTCTTCATTTTTTCTTTGTTTGCCTCACCTAAGGCCTTTATCACTGCAAGTGTGCCATCCTCACCATCCACTGCCTCTGCCTCCAGTAGTGCTCCTCACAGTTCACGCCCTGAATCATGACCAGTCTCATCTTTCTCAAATGGACATCTGAGTGTGTTGTTTCCTTGCTCATAAGACTCCAATGTTTCTCTATACTACAGAGAAAGCTAACATTTCTGAATTTGGTGCAAAAAGTTTGTCACGACACAGTCTCTCTCTTATTATTTGTCACCTGGCATGCCATGAAACATAGCCAGGCAGAAACACGGTTTTAGGAGGACCTACCCTGATGTACACTGCGAAGTTCACATACCTATGATTTCTCTTTCTTCTCCTACCCTGTCCTTGCCCCTGCTTACTAGTCTGGCTTACTTATCAGCTTCAAATCCTATGGGGGAAAACTTTACGATGCATGCCATCTCTGCCCATCATCAGGGAAAACTGATAATGCCTTTTTTTATAAGTCCTGGATGGGAATTTAAATGCCTTTTTGACCAGTGGACTCTATGTCCAGACTACTGCCCAGTCACTGTTACTGTGTATCTAATGGCAAGTGTCCAAAAGTTGAGCAGAAAGAGCTACATTTTTATCTTCCCTAGAAAATGTCTTGCCTTGCTTTTTCCTGATGAACAATGCTACCTTAATTGCTCTTTTTCTAACCTACAACCATTCTTCCATTATTGTATTGAAGGTAGACTCCTCTCTTCATCTCATTGTCAGAAGAGGAAGAGTTGGGGAGTGCTGATGGCCTAGGGTAGGGCTTCTCAACCTGTTGATGACAGAATTTGGGGTTAGGTAACCCCTTGCTGTGGGAACTGTCCTGTGAACCACAGAGCATTTACTGTCATCACTATAATGGTTATATAAGCCAGAAGCATCCTCATCCAGCTATGACTGTCAAAATATCTTCAGATATTAACAGTGTTCACTGCATGGGGCAAAATAGCTCCTTATTTAAAAAACAAACAAGCAAACAAAAAACCACTCTGGAGCTGGAAAGAAGGCTTAGCAGCTAAGATAGGTGAATGTTCTTCCAGAGAACCTGGGTTAGAGTCCCAGAACCCACATGACTCCTAACAAACATCTCTAACTCCAGTTCCAGGAGACCTGATGCCCTCTTTTGGTATAGATATACATGCAGGCAAAATATGGCACATAAGATAAAAATAAATAAACCTCAAAAGAATTTTTTTCAAGTCATAAAACATGGTAAAAAGCTAAGATCAAACTGTCTATCCTTCAGGTGACAAATGGTGAGATGAGGAAGTTCAGTGTACATCACTAGTGCTGTTGAGGAAGCATGTGATACAGTCATCTGGAGTGACACTACAAGGGAGGACAGCACTCTGTGGCACTCAAGAGAACTCACTATGTTACAGGACAAGAACTCCGCAGACACCAGGATTAATTTTCATTAGCATTTTTGTGAGCTTAATTTGTTCTGTTGTCACTGAAAAGAACAGAACAAGTGATACAGGACTTAGCTACTGCACGACAATTATTTCTCCAGAAAAAGAGACAAGAGTATTCCAAGTTGAAATAAACATACTACTAAAGTATTATGTTACAAACTGAATGGGTCGGTAGATGCCACAGTAAGTGTAGAGGACACTGGCAAGACTACCAGGCAAGGAGGAAATAGAGACAGATGCTCAATACAATATCTACCTGTGGTTGACACAACGTTGTCCGGACTTTCGCTGCAGAGCTTGGACAACAGACTGCTCTTCCCAGAGCCTGTGAGACCTATGCAAACCAAATCATATTCAGGGCGCGCAGGTGGTGGTCCCTTGCAGCAAAGTGCTCGAAAACACTGTGGAGACAGAAAGAGAGAAATATGGAGACAAACCTTGGTGATATTTAAAACAACCATACAAATAGGAAGGTGCAACTAAATACCCCATCAACTGTAAGCAGGAATACGGTATCTTCCGGTGGAGACGCCTGGGCCACAGCACTTTGGCAAAGCCATCAACACTGCTGTCAGCAGCCATGAGCTGTGCCTATGCTGCCACCCTCCAGCTACGGCAGGAGCACTGGGTATAGGGTTCGAACAGCATCCTCCAAGTGCCATCACTTGAACCTACCCATGAGGAAACTACAGAAAGTCGATCTCAGAAGCACCCTGTACCAAACCTAGTATGTTTAAAATACCACTGTCTCAAAAGTCTGGGACGAAGGAGCCGCTTCTGGTGAAGAATCAGAAGACATAATATGAATTGCAACACGTCTTAGATTAGATCCTGAATTGGAAGGAAGAAAGTGCCATAAATGACATTATTGGGACAATAGTGAGGACTGAATATAGACTGCATATTAGATAACAGTGTTGCATAAGGTTAAATTTCCTGAATTAAATAACTGTGCTGTCATTATGTAAGGGAAAGTCGTTGTTCTGCGGAAACACATGCTTCAGTACTTGGAGGTGAAGGGTCTTGAAATCTGCAATTAACTGGCTCAGAAACAGTCTAAGTCTCTTACTCCCTCCACCTCCATCTGGTGGGGAGTGCGATAAAGCAATGTGGAAAAACACTAACCAGTGAAGCTGAGTCAAGAGCCCTAAGACTCTGCTTCAGTTCTAGAACTTTTATTTGGGTCAGAGGCAACTGGGCATTGAACTCAGGGCCTTGCCCTGCATGTGTAGAGTTAACGAGCTCTCAGTCTTACTGTTGCAATGTCGGTTCAAAAAAACAAGTCACCTTCCATCACTAAAGAATCCATATTACAGTCTTGCCTTCCTCGGCCTTCACTCTCTTGTGTCCAGGATAACTGACCTCAGAGTTCTAGGAACTGTAATGTAGTTTCTGAACCATACACACTTCATGAGTAAAGACAGAGATCTGACTGACAGGCTATCATCCACAAAGTGCTTGACATTTCAATTTACCTTTTATTCATATAAGAAGTTAAAGTTGGAAAGAAGGGAGGCAGGGAGGGAGACTCCTCCCATTTGATTGTCTGAACCCATACAGGAAAAGACCTGTGAAAACCTTGTGTTGATTCCTCTCACTCAGATAAAGTCTGAGTCCAGCTTGGCTTTCATGATCTCATAGTCAAGCCTGATTATTCCTCTCCCTCGTTTCTAACATCTCAACAAGTCTAGTCCATATGACCTCTACAACAGCTCTGGAGTCTATTGGCTTCTCTCGGCTTATGCTTTGGTCACCTGGACACCAACACTCTCCCACTGCTTCCAGGAATATTTATTCTTGTCCTCTGTTCTCTACAGGCTGTTCATAAAAACAAAAGCCATTCTGTAACCTTAATCTTCCTCAGTGACTTCCCCGACCCATGGGCATAAACTCTCATCATGTTCTATAAGTGCATCCAGACAAGTTGCAGCCAATGCTGCCTGCCTCGTGTCCACCACTGTTTCCTAGCCTTGCTGAGCATCTGTCACTTGAGGCATTCCCTCTTCTGTACTGCTGGCTTCGCCGACTCATCAGCTCTTTGGTTTCAGCTTAACCACCATTTCCTCAGAGCAGTCGGCTCTGATCTGAGACTGCATTAGCAACTGATGTCAAGCTCTCACAGCATGTTTGCGAATTCATCATACAGACAATTACGGTTCCTTATTCACCACCAGACTGTGGGAACCACGTGTGTCCAATTTTGTCTCATATCCCCAGTGCCTGGCAGTGGACAGAGCAAAGAAGCTACCCTCAATAAATCACTGTTGGATGGAGAATGAATGACATTTAAGTTTCACCTAAAAAAGAGAAAAGAAAGCACAAAGGCTAATAGGATGTCTGATCTATGCTCTCTGGGCTGACTATGTTTAAAAAGAACAGTGTCAAAATAAGAGAAACCCTTGACTTTACACTTCAACGTCAGAAGTTACCCAAGTTCCCAAAGACCAGTTTTGATATGCAGGATCTACTTTCTCAGTATACTAAAGATTCTTTTTACCCCAAGTTCATTTCCCCCAGTTTTTTTCAGAGTTTTTTCTTTCTTTCTTTCTTTCTTTCTTTTTTTTTTTTTTTTTGCTGACTTCTGGTAAACAATTTTATGATCCATATTCTACATGGACTTATTAAACTCTAATCATATTTCCTCTCTTCTTTTCAAGTCTGAGGAGTCCTAATTATTTCAGTCTGCCTTCCTATGGTTACCCCTCCTACCCCTTCATCTTAGTCGCTCTTCTTTGGCCTGACTTTAGTTCCATTATTCCTTTTCCTACAAGATTAACGACCACAACAGTAAACAGCCATCTACGTGCCAACACATCACTTTCTGGACTCACATGAAGACTGGCTCAAACTGTCTACAACTCTTCTTTATCCACAAAAAAACAGGGCCCTTAGTCTTCTGATGAGTCTTTCCTACAAACATTTCTCCCTGTGAGCATTTATATTTCCTTGATGGTAGCCCCTGGTTAGCAGTTGTCTACATTAAGAGGGGTTTTCTACATTCAGCCATGACAGACTTCTTGGTCTTTGCTTGGGGAAACAAGGAAGGACTTCATTTCTGCTCTAGAAACCAGTCCTTGGCTCACTTAGTTCCTCTGATGTAGTTCCTCAGGACTAACTCCTAGAGGCCTGTGCCCTAAACTAGACCAAATTACCATAAGTATTAAATACAGAGTGAAATGTGTGAGGTCATACAAATGGTTCAGGGAGTAAAGGTGCTTGCCACCAAGCCTAATGGCATGCATACATACCGTTACAAATAAATAAATGTAATTTAAAAAGCAAAATGCGAGCAACTGTTATATAACCTTGCTTAAATTACTCATTAGCTAATATCATTCTACATACATTGTCCCAAAGATTTGCAGTTTCATCTTCATGCTCTTTTTAAAATCCAGAAAACACATAAACTTTATACCCAAGCCCATCAATATCTGCATCACTTTTTAATTCATGTCAGGAAACCTGAGACACTCTGAGATAAAAGACAATGTTATTCTGCCTCTCTTTTCTCTTGTGTTCTTCCAAGTAGTGTCAGCTCTATTCCCATGGCTCTACTCACACAGCCTGCAATGTCACCCATCATGACAATTCCCTGTGCACACCCTCTCCCCTGTCCCAAATCCCCAGCTCTGTAGTTCCAAGTATTCTGATGGAACCCAAACTCAATCTGAATTAAAGAAAAGCTTCATCCCTCCCCAAACTCAGCCTGGGGAAATACAGCATTTTAGTAAGGAAAGGCTAGACTCACAGTTCTTACAAGAAATGTTTAAAACAAATCCCAGAGCCCTAGGAATACATATGTATTGAAAATAAATGTCATGGTTAACAGAGAAAGTGTTATATTTTGAGCCAACAAAACAGAACTTTTAAGTATGTGCCATTTCAAATCTGGGAGGAATGTTCATGCTTTTTAAGTCAGCTCCCAAAACTGCACAGAGTTGTCATTTGTTTCTTGTTTTAAAACCTAATGAAGCTTTGCATCTTATAGTCAATTTACTTAAAATTACTCACTCTGGCCTCTAGACTATACTGTACCAAAGTTCATTGTGTTTGTCTCCTACAGCAGTTCTGGCATTGTTAAGGGTAAGCCCCTTTCACTGCCCTACAATGCCAGACACAATGCTGTCGGCAGTCCTGACAGCGAGCGGCAAACTCGGGCTTCATTCCCAGGCCAGACACTGAGGCATTGTGTGACTCTGCTCAAGCCCCATAAACCTATCCATGCTTCAGCTTCCCCATGATTAACCAGTAACATTTAACACTATCTGCCACTTCCTTTCTTCAGGAGGATGTTAGGAGGCATGAGTTCAATGCTTTAAGCTCCTAAGAAAAGTGCCAGACGGACAAATAACTGTTCATCGTGATGCTCATTTTCCTAAGGTATCTTGGCTGCTAGTTAGCTTCCTTGAGCGAGGGTCTGGCAGCCCGACACACAGCTCAGCCTGCAGCCCCTTCTGTAAGCGCAGAGCAGCCGCGTCATATTCTCATCCCCACCCTAGCTCAACCCAAGTTCTGCACACAAAATCCAAGGCCCCATGAAGCAGGAAACAAAGAACAGAGCAGTCTGAATTGTAATCACACTCGGGCGGCTACCACCATCAGCGTCTCCCTTGCCTAGACTATTTTCAGCCTTTTCCCACAGGGTCGATTATTGCTTTGTTTCTTTTTGAAAGGAAGAAGGAGACTACGTATATCAAGAATAAATTAATCAAGAACAAGTAAAATTGTAAGGGAAAACTCAGGACTTGGATTGTAGTCTGGTAACTGGCTCTATAGCAAGACACTGACGGTCTTAAGTTGTGTCCATTTCTGTTGGGGACAGTGTCAGACATTTGGGAGATGTGGCAGTGCAATGAAGACAGTAGGCACTTGCTGGATCTCTGCATTACAAACAGCACTGCAAAGTACTAATTCTGCATTTAGCTATGCATTTCATTGGCACATGAAGACTCTGGCTATCCTCCAAATCACACACTAGTCCCTCAAACAGTGTGAACACTTGGCCTTCTTACTATTATGATCTTATCCACCAAGTGGAAAGGCCTCCCCTTCTCTGTCTATTTGGTGAGCCCCCTACTCAAAGTACTGCTCAGAGGGACTTCTTCAACCTCCTCCCACCCCCCATTCCTCAGTGCTATGCACACTGCCAGCACTACAGGTAAGACTACATTTACCAGCTGATAAAAATATTTACTCAGACCCAAGGACACATCCATTTTTGGTCTCATTACTGGTTTTAAAAGATTCTGGTTTTACAGGTTCTGAGGGTGGCCAGGCATCAAAACAGCAAGAGAATTGTCCCGCCACCACATATTTCTGGGTGAGAAGCTTGCTGGAAAGCCTCCTGCCCTGGCATTAGCCCCATGCACTGCCAGGATTTCCTACCATCCTGTGGCATGAA